CACTCAAAAAGAGACTTTAAAATACTCGTATACCCCAAAAGTTATGAAATACTCCTAGTCATGGTGGGTGGATTTACCACTTCCTCTCCCTGTGGTTCTAGGGAGGGAGTCCAACAAAAAATTGAGATGTAAGCTTCCACCCAAAATTATAAAGCAATCATCCTAAAAATTCATGAGTTCTAGCATTCATTTTTTTTCTTTCTAGATTTGTAAACTTGTCATTCATCTGTCAGTGTTTGTCTTATCTGATCAATTGGTGAATCTTCGAAGGAGAGCTCATCTGGGGGGTATGTTGATCTGTAAATTGCTGTGCAGTCTCAGCCTGCAGCACACCTTGATCATGTCGCTAATCCAGGGCCTGAGTACCCTCTTCTCTTGCAATAGGTGGTTCCAAAACACTTTGGCTAGCATCTGCTACAAACAAATTCTTAGTATTTATGGTGTGAAGAAGAACTACCTCAACAATAGTGGGAAGTAGCTGCTAAGCTGGTTGGTGAGGAATAGCCTGATGAGACAAATTTTCATTCAACATTTCTTGAAGATCTTCAGCTTTTGCTATGTTTTCCTCCACTCGGATGATGTTGTTAGAAACTGCAGAATCCAATTGCGCAGGAAGGTTGGATCTCAAATGTGGATGAAGCCCGAAGCATTTGACAAGTGTGTGCCCAAACAGTTTACAGTGATTACAGTAGTAGGGTCTTTGTTTAGCAACAATTGGCTACCAACACCAATTTTGGGCACCACAAAACTATATTTCTTCCACATTAAAGAGGTTGATATCCCTTTCGACAAAAATCCTTTCAAGTGAAGGCTTGGATAGGTTGAAGGTGGGTATGTCCAATTTCATAAATCTCCCTAGTGCATCTCCAATAGAATAGAGGACTTGGTGATTAAAGTAGTGTAACTTTAAGCTAGGTAGTTAAAACCAGATTGGAACCATATGGGTTTTTGGCTAGGATCAAATTCAGGAGACCTTGAAAATTTCATATATTTCCCATTAATTGTCATATACTTCTTGGAAAGAATTTTGCCATAGTCCTCTACTTTAGATAATTTTATCATCACATCTCCCGTTAAAGAGACCAACCTTGCAATGTCCCAATAATTTGAGATCTTCAAAAGCCATTCGAATGACTTCTATTTTAGGATGTCTCAATTGAAACTTCCCAATGAGGGTAAATTTGCACTTATCAACCAGGTTGAAAACTTTAACATTAGAGAAAATTAGAGCTAGTTTGTCACTCTTCCTACTCGCCTTCTTTATGAGGTTACAGTCCCTCAGACTTTTGAATGATTTATGATAAACCTGAGGGAAAACCTGATTATCCATTGATCTTACTGAATCAATTATATCAACATAAGAAGCCTTCCCAATGTTTAAAACTGAAGCAGTCGGTGGTTGAGGAGGAACAGAAGATATAGAACTGAGTGTCAAATAACGACTAGCTACTGGGTTTAAGTCGTGACTTTGACCAGAGCTATCGTGCGTGTAAACCGAGAGCAGAGGAGAAGGATGCGAGTGCAAACGCTCAATTTTGAGCAATCGAACAGAAGGAGAGAAACTTTGTGCCAAGGCGAAGGAGAATCTGTCATGCTTTAGCCATCCATCTAAGAAGGGATAAGGGAGAAGCAAGGCGCGGAGGAGGAAGAGACGACAGACCGAGTTCATGCAGGAGGGAGTCGAAGCCGAGCCCTCATCCAATTGAGGCTCCGCGACATCGACGGGAAAACCATGCGAAAACCACGAAAGAAGCAAAGTGACGAAGCTGACGAAGCCGCATGAAGCAGCTGAAGAGGTTGACCTAAGCAGACAAAGTCGATGAAGGCGATGAAGCCGACCGAGGTAGATGAATCATCAAAGAAGGTGAAGGATATTGCCATCGGGCGAAACCCTAACAGAGCCTCCGCGATAAACATTATATATATATATATATATATATATATATATATA